CCGCTCACTGCAACTGGAGAAAGCCTGCACGCAGCAACGAAGACCCAACACAGCCAAAAATAATAATAATAACAATGTGGTAACTCCGGAAATCAGGCTTCCCCCTTTCCCCAAAGTTTGCTGGATTTTGTTACTGTTTTTGTTTATGGTTTTTGCTTCTCCGATTGTCGTATGCTGTCTCTGTGCTAAGGGCCAGCCTAAGGCATAAACTTAATGCCTTCTTACGTTTCTTCTGAAACTTCCCCAGGTATTTATGGGCACTTTCTATTTTTCCCTGTATATGCAGTCATTTTTTAATGTCCTAGTCTCTAATGTCAGGCTCCCAAAAGAGGGGAAAGCAAAAAATAAAGGGGGAAGACAGGAGTGGGCCTTTTAAATCCCCTGGCAGTCACTTCAGCCTGGGGGGAGGGGTTGCAATAACGGGGGAGGTGCTACGACCATAGATGTGCTCCTCCTTGTCTGCACCTCTGTGACCAGAAGCAGCAATCAGTGATCAGAGCACAAATCCCAGTATTTGTAGGACAGGGTCCTCTTGGCCCACCCCGGCTCCCACAGTCTGTGTGCACAGCTGTTTGCCAGGGGCTGGGGGTGGCTGCTAGGTGTCTGCTCCTGTGGTAAGAGCTGACATTGACCAAAATGGACCACAATTTATGATCCAAGCTTTCAACAGACCCCAGAGTTCCAAGACGGTTACATCAGACAGACTCTGCCAGTGCCACTGTTATCCGGGTGGGAAGACAGAAGATTTCTGCTGTCCTACTCTGCCATCTTCCCAGAATCCTCTGGAAAGACAGTCTTTTAGTGAAATAACACTGCATTTACTCATATGTACAACTAGTATTCTTAGAAACATCTTTTGCACCTGTTCTTTTACAGAGAACGTTAAATACAGCACATGTAGTGAACACATTCTTTCACTGAAATAACACCATCCAGGTGCAATAAAATCCTACCACCCTTAGCAAAATATTCTCGTTGCTGTGGCTCAGTGGGTATAACATCTCTGTCACGCAAGAGGAATACGTTCCAGGGATCTGCTCTAAACATAGTACCTAAGTTAATAATGTAGTTTGTGCACTTTAAAATATGTTAAGAGGAGAAATCTCATGTTAAGTGTTCTTACCACACACACAGAAAAAACCCACAAGGAAAGTTTAGTAAAAGAAATAGTGCAGCACACAGTGGAGCAATGCCTCAAAATTCTGAGGGAAATAAAGTGTGAAGTTTAATGCCATAGGCTTAGCCCCAGCAAGGTCATACATTCTCAAGTCTGTATTAATTCAAGGGATTCAGTAGATTTTCAGTAGACTGAAAAATCTACTTAATGGTGAAATTTAGTTAAACAAGAAAAAATCAAAATTAATAACTCAAAAATGCAATCTTTGAAAAAGTCACTAGATGAAATAAAACTCTAATTTGAATGCAGTCAAAGAGAATATTTGATATTTGGAAGATATCATTGAAGCATTCACCCAAAACTCAACATTGAGTGACAGTCTTTTATATAAAAGAACAATTCAAAGATAAGGATAAATTTTAATGTCTCATAGACATTCTAAAAGGAAAAAAGGAATAAGAGTAACAGAGAGACAGCATTTGAAAAGACTCTTCTAGAACAGAAGAAAGATATTTGTCCTGGGAACAAATGTGCACTTCATACACTGAGCAGGGTAATTAGTGATAACATACAGTGATACAATATAAGGTAACTATGACATCACAGGCAGAAAGAACACTTAAAACCTTCCAAAGAGAAAGGCATATTACCACAGAGGAACTACCTCTACCAGACTTCTCATCAGCCAGAGCAAATGAGAAAGGGGAATGGAATAACATCTAGAACGTGCTTAGAGAAAATATCTGTCGGCTAAAAGATTTATACTATCGCTTAAGAATCAGGGGAAAATAAAGGCATTTTAGACCTTCAAAGACAAGGAACTGAGCAACCACAGATCCTCACTAAAAAGAAGTTAAAGGAGTTCTTCGGCCAAATGATAACTAAACTTCGAGGGAACACACAGGATATAAGAAACAACCAAGTGCAGGAGATTGATTTTTAAGTCATTTATTTAAGCTTTTAAAAAATATTTTATAAAATAGCTTTTATGCTTCAAAAAAAATACCCAAATAATAACAATTTGGAAGGAGGGATCAGTGATAATTACAACTTGTTATTTGGGAGAAAAGGAGAGACATACTGAATAAATTTCTATAAAAACTTCATCAGAAAGATAAAGGCTCAAAGGAACTAGTTGCGTTTTTGATTTAAGAAGATAGAAAGAGAATAGAGTGAACCTAAGGAAAGTAGAAGGAAGGAAATATTAAAGAACATAAAGGAACAAAATTGAAAATAAGTGATCGGTAAGACAAGAAAGGTATTAAGTTGTTCTTCGCAGACTATAGATAAGAGCCTAGCAAGATGAGGCCAAGAGAAAAGAGACACAGATTACATACTTGGAATGAAAAGGGGGGATAATTGCAATAGAGAAGACACTTTTCAAATTACAGAGAATCCTATGAACAACTGCACACTGATAAATTTTAAAACCTCTATAAAATTAATAGTAATTTTAGCAATATAGATTGTCAAAAATTAAACCAAGATGAAGTCAAAAGCTAAATGAACCTTAATCATTAAACAAAATAAAAATTCATTCAAAAGTCTACCTTTGCCAGAAGTTTCCAAGACACTTATCATTCCCCTGTTTTCAACTGGAAAATGTACTACATGAATGGAAGCTGAGGAAGGGGCCGTGACCTTCCTGTAGACGTGCCTGACCCATAACACACATGCAAAGACCCTCAGTGGCCCTGTCTTGCCTATCAACACTGACCCCGCATGCACCGTCTGACGCAGGCTGATCTGAACACAAGACAGGAGTGTGGGCATCTTTTTGTTCACAATCTTCACACTCTTCTGGGGCCATGTCACACAGGCTGGTCACGGTGCTGATTACCTAACTGCATTTCTGCAAACTTGGAGAAAGCCTCAGTCAGGTTTTGCTGCCGTGGTGGTAGCTGCTCTGTGCTCCTGGCATCCACGCCCCCGAAGGCAAAGCACAGAGCAGATGCCAGCTCCTGGGGGCAAGGTTTGGGCTGCCGATGTGGACTCACGCTAGGGTAGAGCCTGGATGACCAGCCACCACCTCAGAGAAAGTGCCAGTGGCAGCGGGTTAGAACCCAGAAGCTCGCTCAGCGTGCTGTGGGGCCGCAGGCACGCGGACGGCTGGCGGAGCCAACACACTGCTGAGCGCACATCTGGCGGATGGGAATGTCCTTTACAGACTTCTAAACTCTCCCTGGTGCACTGGAGTCTAATATCACGCTCACCCAATGTGACCTCCGAGACAGATGACAATGGTACCAACGAAAGGACGGAACAACCCAAGACCCAGCTCACAAGGCGCCACACAGACCCCAAGGGGGGGCTGTCAAGCCAAGCTGCCCGGCAGGGGTTACAAGCGTGGCCATCGCCTTCCTGACGCCCCTGGGGGAGCCACGGCCATCGCCTTCCTGAAGCCCCGGGGGAGCGGCTGGGGAGGGGCCTGGGGTGTGTGCTGAGCCCTCCCGCGAGGCCCCGGGCAGGGACCTCCTCTACCTCCTTTCCTGGCTTCAGCCCAGGCCGCTCTACGCCCTGGTCTTCAGCCACCCCCGCCCCCGCTCACCTCACCCTGCCCTCTTCCGAGCTACGGACAAGGAAGACGCCTGGTCCTGGAGGCATCCTTTACCTCTTCCCACCCTGGGCTCTGCAGCTCCTCTCCCCGCACCTTCAAAGCCCTCTTTGACCCGCGCGCGGTCTCCTTCGCCAGCATCCCTCTAAAAGACGTTACAGCGTTGCCGAATCTCCTCCTGCAGCGCGCGGAAGGGCGGCCTCCCCCTGAGCCTCCCGAAGCCAGGAGGCCCCCAATTCAGAAGAGCCCTGTCCTACTTGTGAAGACGGATGAAGCACCTGCAGGCAGGCATCCTCAAACAGAACAAGGGCAAAACCGGCTCTCAAAACCGTCTCTTAGACCAAAGAAAGAGACCGGGGAGATGGTTTAAACTATGGCTCTTTCCACCAGCTTAGGGCAAGACAAAATCAACTCTAAGCCCCACTTGGCTCAGCTATGCAGACTTGCTTCATCCCAGAGGGTAGCCACTAGCCGTATATGGGTTCACATCTGAATTCATTAAAATGAAATAAGATTTTAGAAACCAGTTCCTCATCCTCACCAGCCACAGTTCAAATGCCCAGTGTCACATGTGACCAGTGGCTACTGCGTTGGACAGTCTAGAGATTTCTCCCCGACAAAGCCAGCCTCAGGCAGGAGCTGGGGGAGAACACAAGGCTAGGCGCCCGGTGCCTCCTTTGCCCTTACAGGCGCGCACAGAAGCGCTCGGCTCTCACGCCCGAACCCTCCCCCACCGCTTGGGAAGCGGTGGTGTAAGTTCACGTCGTCCCACGAAGCGTGAATTCGGTGACTCGGTGTCCGGTCGCGCTCAGGCCAGCTCCTCCCCACCCGCGGAGGGGTTGTTCTCAGGAGCGGGCGGGGGTCACTCAGCTTAAGGCAGTAGCGGCAGGGAGCCCACGGGAAACCGCCCGGGGAAATGAGAGGGCCGCAGGCAGAATCCGCCTCGGTGAGGGTGGGCGGCAGCCCCGCCCGCTTTTACTTCGGATTCAGAGAAGACAACGCGAAGAAACGCCCCAGGAGGAGTAGGTCACACTCTTGGGTATAATCTTTTGCATTTTAAAATGCCATTAAAGGGCCTCCCTGGTGGCGCAGTGGTCGGGAGTCCGCCTGCCGATGCAGGGGACACGGGTTCGTGCCCCGGTCCGGGAAGATCCCACATGCTGCGGAGCGGCTGGGCCCGCGAGCCATGGCCGCTGAGCCTGCGCGTCCGGAGCCTGTGCTCCGCAACGGGAGAGGCCACAACAGTGAGAGGCCCGCGTACCGCAAAAAATAAATTAATTAAATAAATAAGTAAAATAAAATGCCTCAAAGTTTTAACAATCACCACCTTTTTATTGACCAATCCTCCCTTAGCACCAACCGCGTAGCGAGAGAAGGAGCTGTCTCAGTCTAACTCTCATTTCTAAAGATTTACTTCTTGCACGATGGTTAGATTTCACAACTCGCAAAATCCAACCGCTGGAAGCTGCCTGGTGTCCCACAGATCACGAAATGAAGATACAGACAATTTAGCCCTGAACTCATGTAAGTCTCCGTGTGTGAGCGGGTGTGTGTGAGCAGGTGTGAGCGGGCTGGGAGTGAGGAGACATGCGTGTGCTCTAATTGGAGACCTAATTGTGCCAGGTGGGTCCTCTTTCCTCCCCCTCTGCTGGCTGCAGTAACACGCTTTTCTTCTTCCACCCTGAGGTCTGGGTGTGCACTGTCCCTCTGGACAGCGTGCAGCTGGGGCCAGAGCCGGGAGGCAGTTGCAGGGCCGCAGCAATGCCGCTCGCATGGCCTCTGCACGAGTGGCTAATGGTACTTGCTGTGGCTTTTATGATTGGGGGATAAGCTGATGGGACGGCATGTCTCCGCATCCTGCCTTCTGCTCCCAGGTGGAGAGGAAAACCCGTCCCCCATCCCGGGGCTGCCCAGGGAGCCCTGAGCCGAGTGGCCTCACGGGGCACAGTGCAAGGAGCAGAGGGCAGGCTGCCTGCGGGGCGCTGAGGCCTGGGCTGGGCTCACGGGGGGTTGGGGACACTCACAGACTGGGGAGGCGGTGGGCACCCAGCGCGAGCGCATCCTGCGAGCATGCGCTCCGTGGCGGAGGCCACGTGTCACGCAGCACAGCCCTGTGAGCTGGCTCTGGGACCGCTGGTGGCAGCAGCCTGATTCTACAACAAGGAAAGTGAATCGTGATGTTGAGAAGATCCTCATCTCAGGCTGTAAACATCCGGCAGTGGAGTCAGAATTGGTGAACCGGCAGCTCTGAGACACAAACTCATCTGGGATTTTTAAAATTTCAACCAAAGAAAGTCACTGCCTATTTATTTGGCTTTTTTGTGTGGCTGAGCTCTCAGCTAACGAGACAGGTTGGCAAGTCCCCCTTCGTGGGAGCAGCGGCTCTCCTGGGAGAGCTTGGAATTGGGAGATAGACTCAGATAACCCCTAATGCATCCCGCTCCCTAAGTCTCCCCTTGATTCCCTCCGGGGTCAGGAGACTAGCGTTCCTGACCTACATATTTTCAGGTAGACTCTATAGAGGGAGCTCCCGGCTTCCTTCCCAGACCCCGTTCTCCAGTTTCACCTGCCGGCCTCCCTCTCTTGTGTCGGGGCAGGGAGGGTTCAGCTTTCCCCGTGTGCGCCCTTCCCCCGGGGATGTCTGGTCCACACGCCAGTCCCTGGTGGCAGATCTGGTCCTCGCTTCTGTAACAGGAGCTCAGTTGTTACCGACATCGGAATCAGACAGATCACTTTTTCCAGAGAATCTTGGGCCACAATGAAAACAAAGCAAAATAAACCCACATCATCCTCCATCTGGGTTTCCTTTGGCTTTTGTTCATGGTAGGAATGTGGAAACACTGAAATTCAGTCTCTCCCCTGGAGATGCGGGATTTCGTTAACGTTTGGGGAAAACTGAGAGAGGGGCCCGCGCTAGCGACCTGACCACTCCAGGCATCGGGTCCCCAGAGGGCAGGCGACGGCTGGTCCCTGTGATGCAGGGAAGGGACTGAGCTCCTGCACACACCACGCGGGGTCGTGGGTGTGAAGAGCCTGGACCCTGGGGGAGAGTCCTGACCTTGTGCCCCCTCAGAGACTCCATGGATCAGATGGCCCTTCGAATCCTGTGTGAGAGCCACTCCTCACTGCGGGGCCTGCGGCGTCCTGGCCTCAGGGTTCGGTCACTGCGCAGGTCTGTGTTAGCGCCTAAGGGTAGATTTGCGCCCGAGCAGGCAGGTGCCAAGTGTGTGACCCACTCGCCAAGGACGCCAAGGTGTCCTGGGTGCCCGGTGTGGGCGGGGGAACAGGGACAATTCTGCCCAGGGATGCAGGACACAGAGCAGAGCTGTGTCCTCCTAGCCGCTGGCTCAGTACCTGCCCTGCCGTTACTTTGTTTCAGGCTTGTATCATCTTCACTCTGCCAGGAGGCTCCGTGCTAAAGAAAGTGATTTTAGCTGAAATGTCCTTGCTCTCGTGAAATCCTGGAGCCTGTGATCTTAGGGAAGGAGCTCGGGGCAGGATGTTTAGAACAGACTCTGGGTCCACGAGGACCATGGAGGACTTCGTGCTCGGGTTCTAGAGCCAGATCATCTGGCTTTGAATCCCGGATCTGCTGCACACAAGCTGGGTGACTGAGAGCATTTATGTAGCCTTTTCGAGCCTTGGTTACTCCTCTCCAGATGGATGTATCGGTTCCTCATTCGTGGAGTTGCTGTGAAGACTGAACGAGCGCTGTCTGCAAAGGGCCTGGAAGAGCACGTGCTCCCTAAGGCCGAGCCGGTGCCGGTAGAGGCTCCCTTAGGATTTCCGTCCTTTGAAGCAAGACGCTGTGAGGCCCTTTCTCTTAGGGAACTAGCTGTGGGCGGCGTGTGGGCAGGGAAGGGGGGCCATGTGGAAACCCCTCTGGCTGGGGAGGCTCAGGGCAGGTGGCGTTCCTGTAGGCTGATGGGGACACCTTATCACGGCTCCCTCGGGCTCCCTGAGCAGGGTCCTGGGGGGCGTGAGGGTGAACCTCCAGAGGCCTAAAATTTTCCACAGGCTCCAGCAGCGATCTGGAGAGGTGGAAAACTGTGATCCCAGCTGTGTTGTTTCAGCTCGAGGGCTTTTTGGTGGGACAACCAGGGTCCCGGCACTCCTGAACAGGGCACACAGGACCGCTGAGCCCAGGGGCGAGTGTCAGACGCCTGTTAGCACTCTCGGGCCCGGGCAGCGGGCGGCTGGCAGCACAGCTTCTCCGCTCGCCTTTCTGAGGACGCCAGCTTGCCGGCACCGCAGTTTTGCAGTCGCACAACCAGCGGTTCCTGGAAGCAGGGCGACAGCAGCCCCGGGGGATGCTGTGGCGGACAGTTCCTGGTACTTGCTGGACACTGGACGGCCCTGTGCTGAGGGCGGGCACTCTGGAAACAGGCAGCCCCGCCCGGGCAGGAGGGCCCTCGGGGAGCTGCTGCGGATAGGAGTGACAGGCTCTCGGGGGCATCTCCTCCCCTGTGGCCCTCCAGCCCGCCCACGACTGTGTCCTCTGTCCCCCACCTCAGGGGCTTCTGACTGCGCTAACGTTTTAAAGTCAACGTGGAATTTACTTTGCGAGGCCAGGACAAGACACAAACCCAATCTCTCTTCGTACGAGCCACCGCCGCCCCTCAGACACCGAGCCTGCATCACCCCCGAGCTCGTGTGAGCTGTGACCTTCGACCTCACAGCAAGTCAACAATACTGCCTCTACTGCTGTTGAGGCCTGCGGCTCGGCGCCTGTGTGCCCAAAGTCTCCAGGCCAATGAACAGAACAGGTGAGCTGGTCCTGCGGCATGGCTCTGCCCACACGGCTGCCCACACGGCTCCATGTTGGGAAAGGGCCCGACCAAGAGCATCTCGACTGAAAGAAGGGTGAGCTTGATGAGTCGGTGCACACACCAGAGTGGATGTAAGCAGCCTGGCGCCGTGGCAGAGCCTGGTGCCAGGCTGCACCTAGCACGCCACAAACGGGCCCCTCTCTGCAGCCAGACTGCTGGGCGTCAGCGTGGTCCCAGCTCCTACCTCTCCCCCCGACCGTTCACACGCCCCCTCCAGAATCCTCTGCCCTACCTTCCACTGCTGGGCGTGCACAGCCGCCGGGATGGTCTCAGCGCCTCCTGCCTGGTCAGGCCTCATCCTTCACTCAGCTCCAGCCTCACTTCCACGGGGAAGCCTTCCCTGGCCTCCTAGCAGGGTCACGAGCCTCTCTTTCGGAGCATTTCCCACAGTTTACTTTGCATATTCTTAAGTAATTATTTGACGAGCGTCTGCCTCTCCCAGTAGAGCGTAACCTCCATCCGGCAGAGGCTGTGTCTGGGTTTGCTGCCCACTGCACGGCAGCGGTTTGCAGGGTTAAGCACTTAATAAACACTTGTAGATGAAGGCCCTGCGGCCCAGGAGATGGAGGCAATGGTGGATCCGTTGGTTGGAAACTCACTGCTTGGGAGGGAAGGAGTCTGATCTTGGCTTCAGACCGGTTGGGTCGGGGGCAACACAGGAGAAAATGCCCTCTGAGCGGCACAAGCTCAAGAAAGAGGTGCGGGTGAGACGTCCCTGGGGGACGTCACCATGGAGGTTGTACATGGACTCCCAAAAGGAGGGAAGACTGGAGACACAGCCATGTAAGGGAGGGACAGGTGGGAAGAGGCCAGGCTGGGGGCCACCGGTGAAGAGGACACAGCAATCCAATCCAGCAGAGAGTCGAACGGCAGGACCCTGGGAGACAGAAGGGATGTCACGGAGGCAGGGGACAGCGGGATATTCAGCGTCAAGAAATCCAAGGACACTGGATGGGGCGGAGCCCACATACGGGATTTGTTATTTTGTTTCAAAACTAGATTCCTCACGCATAATAATATCTCCTCCTCACTTGTAAGCGTTCTCTGTAGGTTTTCAGAAAAACACAACTTTGAGAATCGTAGCATCTGGACTTGCAGGTCAGGAACAGAAAGGAGTCCGGTGGGTGGGTGGGTGGCGCTCCTGAGGTGGGTGCAGCCCAGGACCGCCAGGCAGGGTCTACACCTGAAACTCACCAGTCACACCCTGCAGGGCAGCGCGTCATGGGTTGTTGGGACCGTCCTGTGAACAGAGGCCCCAACCGGCAGCCTGAACACTTGTTAGAAGAGCAGGGACGGACGGTGGGGACGTGAGAAACAGTGCCTGGGCTGCCTCTGAAACGTGATCTCCAAACCCTCTGTGCCCCTCTGGCTCTGAGCTCGGCGGGCAGGGGCCCCCGAAGGCACAGGAGAGAGGCTGAGGCCCTCCTGACCCACCCTCGCCTCTGTATCAACACAGACTCACAAGTGAGGGGCCGCAGTGGGCTGGGCTCGCTGCAAACACAGCTCTGAGCCCCGGGGGCCGGGAACCCCCCAGCCGCCGGCGCCACCGCTGGTGCACGAGGACTGGAACCTGAGGGGCTCCCGGCACCATGGCTGCCTCTTCCCCTCCTCCTGCCACCCCTCCCACTGCCCAGCCCGGCCACCTGCCTGTGCCCCACCTGCCCAGACCTCCTTGTGGAATCCCTTTGGACTGTGGGCCCCTAATTAAAACGGATTAATGTTCTGGAGCAGAAACTGTACCTAATGGAGCCGTGCTGGGGTCCTTCGAGGCACTGTGCCTGCGTCCTTACCAGCCCTTCAGAGACGGCTGCCACCCGGCTCCAGCCTCTGCCACCAGCAGGTAACGCAGGGCGACGTTCCTCACACCTTCACCTCGACCTGTCCCTGTGCCCACGGCGGACGGGCCCACCTGACCTCTCACGCCGTCCCCAGGAGGGGGATGCCCCCATCTGGATCAAGTGGACAAAGGGGGGCATTGCAGACCCTCCCTCCCAGTTGGGGTCTCAGGTGGTCCCAGTCTTGGGTCAGCACTTGCACACCGGCTCAAGCCTTTGCTGCTCCCACCATTTCCGGGAGGGGCCCCAGGAGGGAGGCTGTGAGGCCTCCAAGTGGTCCGTCTAGAGACAGGGCGGGGCGGGACGCAGAGGGTCAGGTGCCCCAGGACGAGAGACCTGCGGCTCCCGACCCGCCCGCGCCCTCCATGAGGCCAGGGCAGAACCTGGAGTCCACGGTGCTTTTAGGGACCCAGCTAATAGCGGAAGGCGGGCTTCAGGTGGGGTGATGCTGACCTACTTGTCTTTTTCCAATGCAGCCAGTGTCCTGTGTCCTCTTTGAGGTGTCTGACGGAGGAGGGCCCGGCATCTGCAGCCTGTGCAAGGGGTCGGGTCAGCAGTGGGCCACTCGTCCTCCCAGGGCCTCTCTCGGGCTGCCCTGCACGGCGTGGGGCATGGGAACAGCAGAGCTTCCCCGACCCCAGCTCTGGGCCTCCCGCCAGCTGCCCCCGTTCAGAAAGGGCATCCGAGCAGAGGGACCCTGGGCAGCTCTGCCCCGAACTGTCACCCGGCACGAGGACGGGCAGGCCAACGCTTGTCTCTCGGGTCACTGTGCTGACCGCCCCACCCTCCGGGTGCTGGCGCGGGGCTGACACAAGCCCGCGCCTGCTTCTGGGCAGGCGTCCAGCCCGCCTCAGATCCTGCCTGCTGCCCTCTGCCCTGCATTCCTGGCCCTCGCCCGCAGCCCCAAATTCCTGCCGTGCTGGAGGCGGGGTGTTCTCCACAAAGGTACCTAGCTTAGGAATTCACCCTCTCACCTGGCCTGTCACGGCCTGAGCCCATGGCCCGCAGGCTCACACAAGTCCCGTCTGCTCCCCGGTGGAGGCCTGGAGGTGGTGAATCAGGGCAGGGGAGGTCCTGGACCACACGCCCCATGCCCAGGAGGCTGGTGGCAGCCCTCTCTGGACGTCAGACGAGGGGTAATGAGTTTCCTGCACACCAGGCTTCTGAAGAGAGATGGTCCACAGGTGCTGGGGAGGACGTGGACCCTGATTTGTGCTGCGGGGGAGCTTCCACTGTCTGGAGCGCTTCTCCTCTAGGTGTTTGGGCCTAGAGGCTAAGGAATGCCGGTGGCCTCAGGAATGTTATCTGCTGGGAGGGGCTCAAGATTGCATGAAGCAACCTAGCCATGCAAAAGAACAACCTCCAAAATCAACTCGTTCAGAAGGAACCGGCAGCTAAAAAGAGACATTACCGTGAGCGGGTCCTGAGCGCACAAGCCACACCGTCCCTTCAGGCTCACAGATGGTGCCCGCCGGGTTCGCCAGCGGCCCGGTGTGCTCTGCACTCGGCTCTGGGCGAGAGGCCGGCCCAGGCCAGCCGAGCCTTCCTGCTGAGCCATCCCGGGCCAGGCCGCTCGGGGCGGGGGCCCTTGGCCTGTGCTCCCTCCTCCCGGCACCCTGGGCTCACCCCACGGAGAACACCGCTGAGGTTAAACGGATCTTGTACACAGTTTCTTGTCTCCTTAAGTGAATTGACTTTATAAACAGTTTTATTTTAGTCGCATCATTCTTTTACAAATAGGGGGCGGGTCTCCTAGAACTGTCCTAGGTCAGATTTCTCCCAACCAGCTGCCATTTACCAGAAAGTCAGGCCCAGGATCGGCACTTGACAGACATCTATGGGCGGCTCTTGTCAAACCCCCATTAGAAATGCAGGATTTTTCGGACCACGGGGGCCAGCACCCTCTTTTTGCACGTGAGGAAACAAGAAGTGTTCCTGGCCTGCCCGAGTCTCAGGCCGGCCACCTGGAGTCCTACCCATCCGGTGCTCCGGCGCTGAGCCCCTGGGGTGTTGTCAAAGGAGCAGCCAGCGCCCATCGGCAGTAACACCGCGGGATGAGTCACGATCGTCTCGTAAGCCTTGCTTCTAAGCCCTGAACCAGCTTGGACCTGCCCTGCCCCGGGCGTACACAACATCCCCGTGACCCCCAGCCCCGGCTCTCCATGAGGCGCGAGCAAAGGGCTTTGGAGGGACAGCTCTTCTCCAAGAGACTCCTGCACGACACTAAACACATCTGCAGTCTTTAATCGCTACAGATAAAAATACAAATCAGCCTAAGGCGTGCTTGGTAAATTCATGGAAGATGGAGTTGCCGTGTTCGACACCCTGGGATCGCTTGGGCACAGTTCCTTTCTCTGATCGCGTGCCCACTGGTGCCGGGCACTGGGTTCCACTGCTCTCATCGTTCAGCATGCAGTTTGTTTTTCAAGAACATCCCAAAAGGGGGCTTCATTTTTTTTTCAACTTGTAAGGGGCACCTGCTCTAAAGGTCCTCAGTACAGGCCTAACGTCACTGCCCCAGAGTGTGCAGTGCGTCCTGTCTTGCTGTTTCCCACCCAACTCTCAGGTGGAATAGAACTACGTCCGCATCTGCGGTCACCAAACGTCCTGATTTGCCCAGGACTGTCCTGCTTTTAGCACTGAAAGTCCCATGTCCTGGGCAAAGCCTCAGCCCCCGAAACCCAGGACGCTGGTCTCCCTCTGACTGCCTAAAAGCAAGGCTGCTTTGTCTTACATCAAGCAGAATTTTACACCAAAAACTTTTTTTAGAAGTTCAAGTGGAATTTTTATTTTATTTTATTTTATTACTTTTTTGGCTGCGCAGCATGTGGGATCTTAGTTCCCTGACCAGGGATCAAACCTGCGCCCCCAGCGTTGGAAGCACGGAGTCCTAATCACTGCACCGCCAGGGAGGTCCCTCAGTTGGAGTTTGTAGTGATGGGGGAAATGGTGGGAAGAGCTGGGGAATGTGATCTCGACCTCTGATGAAAAGGTGGAGAGAGGATTGGAATCGAGGGTCTTTTTCTGCAAAAGCTCTGAAGCTCCTCCTTCCTCTGTAAGAACTGCTGGTGTTTTTATTTACATTCAGTGTGGCTCCACATTCATCAGGGAGGGAAAGTCCAGGATCCAACAGGTTTCTCCTTCTCAGATTCCTACGATGTAACCAGCAGGGGAATCATCTGGGCTTTCTTAGCGAAACGGCAGCAGCTCACGGGGCGGCCGCCTGTTCATGCATAAACATCACCACTAATTGTCTCTTTGTTACCCTATAGCTCTCCTCCCGGGGCTGCAGTGCACTTGGTTTTGGCCCATTCCCCAGTGCGGGAGAGCCATGCGAGGCCCTTCCTGGGGCTGGATTACACCCCAATCCACTGGCAGGGCCCGTGGTCCAGCGGCAGCACAGAGGGCAGGGGGACACCGAGGGTGCCGTGTCACTTCCACTCCCGCTTCGTCCCCGGAGGGTGCTGGGCCAGTTTCCGGGGTGGGACCTCGGCCATGCCTGGCACTGCCCGAGGGAGCGCGGCCATCTGGCCGCTGGGCGAGCTGCTGCCCACGTGGATGCTGTCCTCTCTTGTCAGGAGCCGGGGCCTGGGGCAGGGCCCCAGGAAGGGTCTGGCACAAATTCACTCCCACGTCTGCCCTGGCCTTGGACAGAGAGGGGACAGAAAGGACCGTGGCAAAGTGTCCTCACGCGCATCCGTGTGCACACACGTGCCACTCTCACACACGGCACCGACTGTCCGAGGAGGCGTGCAGACGGGCACGGGAATTCGGTGCCACCCGAAGAGCACGGCCCAGAGGACTTAGAAGACGAGGTCTCCGAGGGCGAGAGCCAAGAAAACCTGTGCAAAGAGGAGGGAAAAAGAAGGGCGGACGGTGTGAGGAGGCGGTCGGACAAATGAGGACGAAAGACGGGCAGGAAGGATGGGGCAGCCCCGCGCCAGACCCGCACCTACACTGCCCCGCACGCCAGGCGGGACCCACCACGAGGCTCCCCCTGTGCTGCACCCCCTTCTCCTGGCACGTTCTCTTGTTTGTTTGCAACATGTTGATGTCATGCACTCGCCAAGAGCTCAGGGGCCAAAGTCGCCTCACACTCAAGAGTGGGAAGAACAAAGCCGTCGAGGGAAAGTTTGCTTTTTCTGAAACGGGTGCACCACAAGGGCTCGAGCCGGCCGGCATTCTGCAGGAACTCGCCCTGCCGTTATCTGGCCCTCGCCCTCGCCTCTGCCCAGGGAGACCTCTGACTTGGAGCCGTCCTGCCCCTCTGTCCCCAAGGGGCCCCCAGCTGGAGCACATCAGCCTTGGCCACTGCCTACGTGGGCCTGTCTGATCCACACCTCGCAGCAGGGTTTACGCGGTGTGCCGGCCGCACTGTACAGAGAGAAATGTCATGAAGCCACCCTCTCCGTGTGGGGAAAATGCACCCCTCCCAAGAGGCGGAGACAGGAAAAAAATAAAAGCAAATAAAAGTGTCTGGTCGCGGAGCCTTGACAGTTGAAGCAGCGAAAGAAATGGCAGCACCCCCTCCTCCTGGTCCTCGCGCTTCTCATCCGGTGCCCACGCCACGGCTGTGACATCACAACACAAAGCGCCACACGATGGTAATGAGCTCCTCTGAGAAGGCCTTTCAGCATCCACCCTCGCGCCTGTGACGTCAGGAGGCCGTGTGCATCCCTGGGTATCCGATGACTCACCCGGAAGAAAGCCTGGTCAGGGGCAGTGAGCTTTGCTGGATAAATTCTCTGGAAATTGTTTATTTATATACATGTGTGTATGTGTGTGTGCGTGTCTATGTATGCGTATGTGTATGTATGTATCTCTGTGTTTGTGTGTCTGTGCATACACGTGTGCGTTGCGTGTCTGTGTGTGCATACGTGTGTGTGTGTGTGTGTGTGTGTGTGTGTGTGTGTAACATTTACATAGTTCCCTTGGGCCGTTTGCTCACTCAGATTCCTCACCTCCTGGCTGAGGACAGAGAACTCACAGGAGCCACAGGAACCAGACTCAGCAGGAACGGCCCTGACACGGCTTCGAATTCTCACAAACAGGCTCAAATCTGAAAAATTTACCCCAGTCAGGGAGAAGCTGGAAATCCTGCAAGAAGAGGACCTTTTGCTTTTCAAGACTTCTAGTCCAGAGGGAACTGAAAAAGAGAAAAGCAGGAAAATCCTATTTTAGTGGTTTCTTGAGTTGTTGGGTCTGCCCCGCAGACACGTGGTAACTAGGGCCGCCACGTTCTCACAGTCACCACAGCGCTCACTCGCGGGAATAGTTTTCTGCACTTTCACATGGCGCCACGTCAGCGCTCTCACAACGGGGAAGGGTTTGAAAATAGACACAGAAGAAGTTCCCGCTGACCCTGCTAATTTTCCAGCGAGTTCTGGTTGGGAGATAATACCTGGCTGCAGCTCCTTAGAACGTGGGCCCTGCTCGCTCTGCTGCCGAGTCTGTTCTGGAAGCTCTCGGAGGCCGAGGGCAGCGGCGGCAAAGCCGTCCAGGGCTGCTCGTTGCTGTGATGAGAGGTGAGGTGTGCCAGCCCCGGCCCCCTTCTGCGGGCAGCGGAGGGACAGAGAGGGAGGCCCCTCGCCGGGCTCAGGTGGCTAACGCACCCAGGGCACAGGATCCAGCAGGGAGGCACGTGATCTTGGGGGGGAGGCGGCATCTGACGCAAAGTCACCCCACACGAGGACGTAACTTGAGCCCTGTAGCCGGTGGTCCCTGGCGGCGGCAGGAACAATGGCTGGGGGTGTGCCGAGGCCTCTGGCTTTGTGCTGGGCACCAGGCGAGTGTGTGCACGGCTGTGCCTCTGCGGATGCTGGAGAGCAAGGCGCTCCCGGTGCCAAGATCCTATCTCAGCTCCAGACGGGACCCTGCACCTGCCGCGTGGGTTTCGGGGCCACCGGGGGTGGACGGGAGGCTTTGCGCACGGATGAAGCACTTCTGAAAAGCCGACTCGCTAAATCGGCTTCTTCGGGGCTAATTGATATCCCGCACAGGCTTCCGCAGACTGGCCTCAGGCAAGCCCTCCTCAAAACTGAAATCCTAGTGCAGGGCCAAGGCAGGCCTGCCCGAGGACCCCACTGTTGATCGGCCCGCAGATCAGCCCAGGAGTCAAAACTCTTCCATCGGCAGTAAGACGGTGCGTGTCTGAGACAAACTGCACACACAGTTCTCAGCCACGTTTTCCCAGCGGAGCCTTGAGTTCCGAGTGACATCGTGAGTGTTTCTGAGGCGCAGAGACGCGAAGGCCCGGCCGGCATCACACAGCTGGGCTGGGGAGGCGGGGATGTCTGCAAACCCCCGGGGCAATGCGAGCGTGGCACCTGGACGGGGCCAAGTGCGTGCACAGCCTCCTTACGGAAGCCGCGGCTCCTCCACAGCCTGAGGCTGGCAGCACCCTGACCTCACAGAAGAGCAGAGGGCGGTGGGACCCCAGGACCCATCCACGCTGAGGGCCGCCGAGACCACAGAGCCTTCCCCGAGGCAAGTCCAGCCCTGCGTGTCTGGCAGCAGGAATGGCCACCAAGGGCACAGTTTTCAGGGGAAAATACTTACGACTGTTGGTGCGCATCCTTTTCATTGTTTCCTGCAGCTACGAGACGC